ATATATATATATATATCAGAGACAAAAATTTCAGTGCTGAGCCAATCACATGTACTGACAACAATCGTCTGACTGGAAGAAAAAACAGGGCTGAGGGTCAGAACCAGTCAGGCCACCATGTCCAGATGGAGGCCTCAATGGACATGGCCCACGGACCCAACGCTCAGCAACACTTCCTAGAGTACAGGTCATGCTTGATAAAGTAGATAGCTATAGCCCAGCCCTGCCCGTTGTTAACCCATCTGTGTTTTGATAAACTGAAGAGTACCTACCTGAGGATGGCTTTCATCAGCTTTCGTAGCCAAAATGCAGAAATCGCCACAGGTGGTGATAGAAAGGAGACTCTTCACATATTTAACGTATTTCTCATTGTTTTTTGTATCCCAAAAGACAACACAGTACTCAGGGCGGTCAGGTCTGGTATACGCATAAACTACAGTATTCGAGCAATAGCCCCACTAGGAAGAAAAAGACAGCAAGGGAAGAAAGGAAAGCAGAAAAAGAAGGGAGAGAAGGAGAAAGAAAGGCAGACAGAATACTTAGCTTGGGAAAGAAAAATCACATTATTCTATTTTATTCTAGAAATATTGCAGTTAGGTGATTTATTGGCTCACAAAATATATTTTTCAGAAAGGAAAGCTGAACCTATAGCTTAATATCTCTTTCCACTAAAGTAACAAATCTGTAAGTAATAATGAAGATATTTTAAAAGCAAAGAATTATTGTTCTTACTTTTTGTAAAGGTAAGCTTCAGTGGTAGAAATTTTCATTAGTGGCTAACAGCTACTGGGACTGCAGGAATGGAGGAGGGAGGGTATTAGGAGGAGTATAGGTAGGAGTGGTAAGATGACTGGGAGTATTTTCTCTCCCAACCCCCCTGCCTGACCAATCTGGCAGCCCCTCCCATACAGTCAGTTCTCTGTGGCTTCCAGGAGCATGACTTTCTTACCCTACCCCTTTGAGCTCAGGGGTTGGTGGAGGTATCTCATATATGTTAAATAAAATCTTTTTTTTTTTTTTTTGTACCCAGAATAGAATTCACATCCTTGGGCTTGCCAGGCAGGTGCTATGCCACTAAGCTATATCCCTGGTTAATATCTAATGTATGTAAGCTTTGCGCTCATGCTTTATTTTCTTTGCTGTACCCCTTACCCCTGTTGTGGAGGCTGGGGAGATAGCTCAGTAGAATAAGTGCTTGCCTGGCAAGCTCAAGGTCCTGAGTTCAATCCCTGATACCACCAAAAAAAAAAAAAAAGATGAACCTTAACCCTGTCAATATTTCTCTAATAAACCATCCAGTTACTCCTGGGAGTATGTATGTTTCCTCCTGGGACACTGACTCATGCAGTCCTTTTGATATGTAGAGTATTCTAGAAATGTTTACTATTTGCTAGTTCTAAGGCCTTCACACAAAAAGAGAAAGCTTCCTCTCTGTTAGTTTATATAACAAAATAGCTATGAATATACATTGGGCTACAACAAAATTATTTAGTACTAACACTTTATAACTACTCTCAATACCTTATAATCAGGTCGAATATTTGCAAAATAAATGAAGGAATCAACAGCTAGCGCAATTTTCAGTCCACCTCCTTCCCAAGAGAGTGCAGACATGTGCTTTCCGGGAACCTTCAAAGTACCCAGATGCTGGAAAAGAAGACACTTGTAAGTTAAAGTCTCATAATCCACAAATTACCACCAAACACCCCACCAAGATCAAGAATGGTATGAAAACTACTTTGTGAATGGTTATTATCTTTTAAAAATAATTTCCCTTGAATTTTTATAATAGAAAATGTACACACAATGGGAAAATTTATTGGCTCCACCCAAAAACTTCAGTATCAAATTTCTTTAAAACCAAAATGTCATAGATTGAAAAGTGTTTTTTTCTTTTATGCACAACTAAAGTTTTAATTGTTGATTAAAGTATGACTTTGATTATAAGATATACTCCAAGTAGTAAAAAAAAAAAAAAAAAAAAAAAACCCTGCACTTTTTAGAACTAATACGATATAAATTCTACCATGAAGTCTGGCCTGGCCCTTTCACCCTCACAACCAAGCAGAGGCCAGGCCATGACTCCTGCGCCTCTGTCTCCACACTGCCCCTCCTGCTGACCGGGCCAGGAGATGCGGGCCTGTTAGTGTTTCTCCTCACTCCCACCCTCCACCCTCAGGTTTCATCACTACTCTGCTGTCATAACCATCTCTATGGAAATAAATCTGACCATATCTTTCCTGCTTTAAAGCATGCTTAATGATTTTCAAAAAACAACTGTTAACCACAATTGGTGTGTTCTTTGGCATCAGACCCAATGCCTTTTCCCACCTAGCCCCACTCTCTGTTCCTCAGCTGAACGCCCCAGGATCCCACCATGAGTAGGTATGCTGACTCCTGAGGGACTCTGTTAGCCTTTGTCATGGCCCTGCTGCCTGAATCCACCCCTCCTTGCCCACACATTCCTGTCCTAAACATTCCTTGTCTCCCACCCTCTTCATCCTCAAGTCCAACTCAAATGGTGCCTCCTCAGTGAGCCCGATTCTCCCGCCCTTTATGGGTCCAGAGCGCCCTCAGCGCTCCTGAGAGCACTCACTCCTTCACACTCAGAGATCACCTGGAAGACAGGTGTTGAGTAAATACATGTTGAGCACATAAATATACATGCCAACCAATTTCTTCACATACTAACATTTGATATATGAATGACTACATGAATTTTTTTATGTGGCCATAAAAAAGACAATTGTTTTTAATCTGAATTTCTATTTGACTGACCAGTACGATCCTATGAATTTTACTCATTGTCCCTTGTTCATAATCAGAGAGGCTCTAAAGTCACACTGCAGGATGAATGTCCATTTTGTATCTGTGTATTCAAAATGGTTAGGATATGGGGCTGGAGAGATGGCTCAGTGGTCTAGAGCACCTACTTAGAACAAGCTTAGCAAAGCATCAGGGACTGCGGTTC